GTGCCCTCTAGAAGCAGGGTGAGAGGCTTGGGCTCTGTTTCTCCCCTAGAGCCTCTTGAAGGAACCACGCTGCCAACACCTCAATTTTAGCCCTATCAGGCTGATTTTGACTTCCAGAACTGTTAGACAGTAATTTTGAATTGCTTTAAGCCACTATCCCCCCTCCAAAAAAACTCCCAAATTTGTTGCCATGAGTCTATTCCAACTCGAAGTGACCCGTGTGTTACAGAGCTGGACTGTGCCATAGGGTTTTCTGCTCTGTAATCTTTACAGAAGCAGACTGCCGGGCCTTTCTTCAGCAGCACCCCAGGATGGGTTCAAACTGCCAACCTTTTGGTTAGTGGCTGAGCACCAACTGTTCAGAGCAGTGTTTGAAATAGGTTACAGCAGCAAAGGGAACACACACCCCACCCCAGGGGGCTGACCCCTGCTGTGGTCGAGCAGCCTCCTCCCCACGGGGAACCTGGCCGGGTCCACGGGGAACCTGGCCGGGTCCGGCGAGGAAATTGACTCATCAGAGATACGTTTTCTGTGGTCACAGCTGCCTCCTTCATTGGCAAAGCAGCTGCCCCTGGGGCAAGATTTGTGGAGCAACAGGAAAACCACCCCCACATACATACACAGAGCACCCCTCTCCCTGGGGAGTGGCCCCAAGGACTTGGCTGCAATTCCCAAGAGGGCCAATGCTTAGGGGGCAGAGCAACGAGAAGGGATTCCGCGAAGGAGGGGTAGAAGCCCCCTGGGAATCTTCCCCACGAGCTGCTTCCTGAGAGGGGTGGGCGGCCACACACCCGAGGGTTTGGAAGGCTCCGGGAGGGGCTGGGGTGTGACCCGTCCTATGCTGCTCCCCACCCACCCCTTCTTCCTCCTCACAGGTGTGCTTCTCTGCTGGGCAGGCCACCCCTGACTGCACTATGTTGATGGGGGGGTCTTGTTTCCGTGGCTGGAGGGCCACCAGCGTCCCCGACACCTGGTGGCTGGCAGTGCCGGGGAGCAGAGCCTCTCCCCATGCCACGCTCTGTGTTCCCAGAAAGCAATGCAGACGTCGCACCTCGGTACCTGTGAACAGGACCCTGTCTGGAAATAGGGGTTTATGTTTATGAGGTCCTACTGGAGTGGGGTGGCTCTGAAATCTCGCTGAGAGGTGACTTACAGAAAGAGGAGACAGACAGAAGGACACACACACTGGGGGAAGAGAGGACATCGTTGAAGGACAGATGTACCCACAAGCTCAGGAACCCCAAGCAGTGCTAGCAGCTACTAGAAGTAGCTGGAGAACAAAGAAGAACCCCCTTAGAGCTGTGCCGTGAACACAGACTTCCAGCCTCCCAAAGTGCGAGACAAAAAACTCCTGCTCCTTAAAGCCACCATCTCGTGATACTTCAGTTACACCAGCCCTAGGTAACTATTGACGCCTAGGGTGGGTCCTTCTAGAACTGACTACCAACCCAAAACTTCCTGTGGCCCCAAGAACCCAGGGTATACAGTGCACTCGGGATGCCCAGAGCACCAGACCTCCAACCGTGAGACAGCCCCTCTCCTCCTCCAGGCTGAGCAGTAGCCGGCTGGCGCCTGTCTGGTACAGCGTGTATGCAAAGTGTCTAGGGACAATGATATACACCCAGTGAACGGGTCCAAATTCACAGCCCTGGGGCCAGGAAGGCCAAACACCAGAGTGAAGCAGCCATGTTGGAACCAAAGGGGCAAGAGGCTTACAGTAAGCAAGTGATGGGTCACCCCCCCCAGCCTTCCAGTTCAAACGCTTAAATACCCTGTCAGGCCTGTGTTTGACTCACACCCAAAAGAGACAGGGGTCCCTGTGTCGCCTGAGCCCTCCATCTCTGACCTGGCAATTAGCAGTCTCACACATGACTTCCCACCTGTCAGCTCAGGTGGGTCCCCTCTGCATGGAGGGTGCCAGCACCCGCAGTTGAGGCACTAAAGAACTTCCACACGTTCCTCACACACGTCAGGCCCCTGGAAAGGACACCAGGGACCCCTTATAACGCAGAGGAAAAGCACCCAGGCAACACGTGAATAGACCCATATTTAATTATGTTAAATATTAATAAAAGAACACGCTTGACTCTGACCCGTGTAACATACTTTACACAACCAAGGGAGGACATTTCACAGAATCCCGTACACAGCTTTTGGGAACACAAAGTAGCATCAATACCAAGTTGAGAAAAATGTTCTGTTGCACTTTGGTCTGGCATGAAGGGGCAAGAGAAACACTGCCCCAAACGGGCCCTTTGCCGCCAGCGAAGACTAGGCATCCACGGCAGTGGGGACCCCCTCAGAGAATGGCCCTCAGAGAGAACCCATGTTTGATGACATTGATTGGCACAGAAGGGATAGACCTGTGTGTATAAAAAAGATTTGTATAATAAACCAAATAATATTGGAAAGAATACAATTCGGCAATACTTCTGTAAGAAGCAGAATTACAATAGTACATGTTACTCACATGCATAGGGGTGTGTAAGAAAGACCCTCATGGTGCTGTGGTTGGTGTGGAGGGGCAAACCATGTGCTTGAAGTGACACGTTAATCAGCAAGGAAATGAAGCTAAAGAAGGGTGGGCTGCATGGGGCAGAAGGGCCTTCTCAGCAACAGACCTGAACAAAGGGACCCCACGAGAGAAAACGCCCACACATATGGGTGCACACACGCACAGGCACATGTGCGCGCACACATATGTGCACACACGGGCACATGACACACACATGTGCACATGCACATGCACATAACATACATGGACCCATGCACACCTGTGAACATATGAACACGTGTCCATGTACAGACACACACGTGCACACATGCATGGGTGCATACATGCACACAGATGCATGCATGGACACCGGCACACGCACACATATGCACAGGCATGTGTGCGTGCACATGTGTGCGTGCATGGGCACATGCACACACACAAGCACAAGTGCGTACACACACAATCATGGGCACATGTGCACACACAGAGAAGCACGTACACACACATGCATGTGTGCACACAAACATGGACACACATATACACACATGCACAATCACACACATGCACACTAACATGCATGCACACACACCAGCACACACACGGGGGTACAAATGGACACACAGACGCATGCATGCGCAGGCATGCACACACGCACATGGGTGCATGTATGCACACACAAGTGTATGCACACACATATGGTAAATAAATACACTAACATCCAAGTGAGGGCTCCCTAAAGCATCTTTGTGCTCCAGTCAGCCTTCCCTGCTGGCTGCTGCTCCAAGGGCCAGCTGTGAGAGAAAGGGGGTTACCCAGCCCCTTCAGCAGCAGAAATAGCCTGGCTAGGCCAGAAAGCAGAGCCCTCCACATGCCTTCAAGTGGGCTGTGCACCCTGCCTCGGGGGGTGGAAGGACAACAGGCCCCTGGCTGGACCGCTGAGGGACTGCAAATCCTTGTGCCCCGGGGGCCCCAGTCTCTGTGGTAGATATGCAAAAGGCAGCTCAGCATGTAGACATTTGCACTTGACTTTGGTGTTGGGGCCCTGACCTGAGAGCTTTGGTTCACAGAAAGCATCCCTTGACAACACTTGAGTGCAAGCAAAGCTTCGTTGGGTCCCCACCCCACGTGGGCCAAGGGGGCTCACGTGTTCTCGTCCGTTGCTCCCATCCTTCCCAAAGAATGACAGGATCCACAGCCTGTCCACCAGCAAACCACGCTGCCTAGTGGCCTGGAAAATGCCACGAAGAACACAGCTCTTAGGGATCTTCCAAACCCAAGCTGCACTCGGCCCCAGGTGAGCTCATGCCTCGTGCTTCACCATCAGGATACAAGTAGCTGCAGTTTGTTGGCTGAGTTAGGAAGTCTGGCTGCACCAGGTGGAGAAAGTGGCTACGAGGTTCATTCCAAGGGGGAGACTGGTTTGAAAGCAGCCACAACTAAACACTTAAAACCCACCCAGTTTCTGATGCCCATCTGCACACCCAGAGGACCCGAGTGACCCTTTAAGTTTCAATTCCTGGAAGTTGTCATTCTGGCATGGGTGTCACAATTTCTGTTCTTACTATAAACTGAATTTCTTGAGAAAACATCTAAGGTGATAGGAGAGCAAGCCACAGCTAGTCAAATGCAGACAGTGATTGGTTTTAAACTAATTCACTTTTGATGGCAAACACAAAAGGCAAAGTCTGCACGTGAGACAGGAGGGTCTGAGAGATGGATGTGCTACCAAAAACTGATTGATTTTTTTCTCGCATTAAACAGTGACATTAAACCAAACAAACCAAACTGCCATTGAGTCGATCCGACTCATAACAACCCCTTCTTGGGTTTCAGAGGCATTATCTCTACAGAAGTAGATTGCCCAATCTTCCTTCCAAAGAGTGGCCGGTGGGTTTGAACCGCCAGCCTTCTGGTTAGCAGTCAAATGTCTTAGGCACTACGCCACCAGAGCTCCTAAACAGTGACATTAAGGAGGCTTATATCAGACGAGACTGAAGGGCTGACCCTGGAGTGAAACGGAAGAAGATGAGAATCTCCATCCTCCATCCAAAGGAGTACAGCTGAGTTACGTAAAGATGTGTTTCAAGCGTGAGTGTGAAGTTCAGGTTCCAGCAAGCCCCAAAGTGTGACCTCCAGCTTAACCAGCTCCCAAAACTGGTGACCTGAGACTGGGCCCTCCGGAGGCAGGCAGGGGTGCCCGGTCTCCACACCTTGTTTCCTCTCCACACTGGGTGCCCCGCACTCTTAGGGAGCAGACATGGATTCTTGCAGAAGTGGGTCTCCACTGGCCTCAGCAGAAGCCCCAGGATGAGTCAGTGACTGGGCTCTTCAACATCACAAAGGAAATCCTGGAAGAGTTACAAGGAAGCACAGTGCAGCCAAGAAGGCTCGAGCCCTGGGGTTTCTCCCCAGCGTGAGTGAAACGTCCCCTGGCAAAGGGAAATTTTAAAATAACAGCAAGAACGTAGTCCTCGGCACAAGGCTGGCAGTGGGGACCTGGCCCTCACGTCTTTTTCCATGCAAATGCTTCGTCGGCAAGGACCTGCACCAGCCTGGCATTGAACGGCTCGTAGAAGTCCTGCAGGAGCCTCTGCGTGACCGGCCACATGGGCCCCAGACTCCGGTCCTCGGGACGCCTTGCATTCGAGGCAGGGCTCTTGGTCATCAGTGCTTCCTGCTTCTCGCTTAAGGGTCCTGGAATAAGAATAGAACCTGTGACTGAGGCCAAGGCCCGGTGGCTGGGCCGCACTTCACCCTGCATGTCTGGCTCCCAGCCCAGCTGTCTCCACCCACTCACTGAGTCTACACTGGACTCGGGGGCCCTGGAAAGACCATAAACTCATGCTCCGCCCCTCCCCTCTGCAGCACAGTATTCATACCTAGGTTCAGGAACTCGAAGACCCTGTGCATGGTGGACTTGACGTTGGACGCGTGGTCTTCCAGCCGAAGAATGAGGAACTGCTCTTTACTGAAGACACTGAGCCAGTCCATGAGGTACACGGCGTACAGCCCCACCTGGAGCCTCACCTGGGACAGAGGAGCCGGCGGTGTTACTCAGGGAAATCCCCTCCCCTTGGAGCTGGCGTCTCCTTACCTGACAACAGCTGGAGCTCAAGGACAAGGTGTTCTCGTTCCATCACGGAGGAACCCTGCACTACGGGCATCCACAGGAGTGGGCTCAGTTCCAGACCTGAGGGGCAGCTAGGGGCCGTGGTCTCAGTGGTAGCTTTCCTGTCTGTTCTTCCAAACCAACCTGAGCTCGTAGAAGGCAGAGACCACGCAGCCCAGGGAGGGCACCCTGATGCCCCACAGGGCTCTATGGAGGGATTGCCAGGAAACGTGTGACACAATGTGTGCTGGGAGTTTCATCTCTCTCTTCCTATTCCACTTCACGTTTTTCTGATTGCCGAGGAGGGTATGGAGGAAGGGGAGCAGCTGGGGGCGGGGTGCACTATCCAGAGTCCTTTAGCTGCTCCCTCCCACAGGCTGTTGCTCCCTTAACACCAGTTCATGACAAAGACCTCAAGCGGGCCAAAGCTAAAGAGAGAGGGAGTCCAAGCCCGTCTGACTCTCGTCTCAGACTCCCAGTGTCGCTGGGAGTCAGTGACACGGCGTCAAATTGCCTGGCCTCCCCGAGAGTGTTAATTCCTTCTCTCTCTCTCTCTTTCTCTCTTTCTCTCTCTGTCGCTCTCTCAGCCCTGACTCTCCAGAACTTCCTGGAAGGAAAGGACCTGGGTGTTTGGTACAGAATGGGAGTTTTTGACTTAATTATTTTTATTGGTGGGGGCTGTTTTGTTGCTGTTGTTTTGTGGTTTTTCAGTGGTGAAATATACCTAAGAAAACATTTGCTTTTTCAACCATTTTTACATGTACAATCAGTGACCTCTATCATCGTGAGGAGCTCTATTAGTGTAGTGATTAAGGCATTTGGCTGCTAACCAAAAAGTCATTGGTTCAAACCCCCCAGCTGCTCCATGGAAGAAAGATGAGGCAGTCTGCTTCTATAAGGATTTACAGCCTTGGAAACCCACTGGGGGTCGCTATGAGTTGGGATCGACCCGATGGCAGTGAGTTTGGTTTGAATTTTACGTCACTGTTAACTTCCACTGAGGTGGGCTAAACCCTCCCTCCTCCAGTTCATAAGGTACTGGGGCTCAGTGATGCCCATCAACGTCAGTCTCCTGGTGACATTGCCAACTTCTGTTTGTAATTAGGTTGCCTGCGATTTCAAATCATGTCACTTGACAGTGCTCAGGAATTCCCTGATTTTCTTTGCATGGAATTTTATAAATGTTGGATGCTTAAACTAGAGTTTCCATGCCAGCAACAACATGACCTCAGGGCTCTGAGCCCTCTGTGACAGTTTCTAAGATAGATCCACAGCTACAGGGGACACTCAGATGACACACAGGGGACACACAGACACATGGACATATGGGAGACACGTGGGGGCACAGGGACACACAGAGGAGACACACACAGGACACACAGACACACAGGCACAATATCAAAAACTTAATTTTTCTCGCCAGCATAGCACCCCCGCCCCTCGTGACCCGGGACCAGCTCACACACACCGGGCGTGCTGGCTCCATATCCCATAAGGAAGAGTCAGGCCTGGGCAGGGCTGAGAGCTGGTCTCTGGGCTGGTAGTGGGACAGGAGGGGAAGGAACACTGGGCACAGAGCCCCAGGCAGCCCACAGTTTCCTCCCGCACTGAGTCTGGTGCATGCACAGAGTAGGTGCCACGCATGTCACAGAAACGAACCAAACCCATACATCCTCTCCATCGTTAATGAGGCCAGTCTCCTTTCATTTTTTCCTAGATCTGTGTCCTGAAATGGTTCTTCCATCCTCCCAGCCCCACATGGATGGTCCCCAATCACAGTCATAACCAACCACCAAAAACCAAACCCACTGCCATCAAGTTGTTTCCGACTCATAGCCACCCCCACTGGGTTTCCAAGGCGGTGTATCTTTCCGGAAGTAGACTGTTCCACCTTCCTTCCACGGAGTAGCTGGTAGGTTTGAACTGCCAACCTCCTGGTTAGCAGTCAGATGCCTTAGGCATGATGCCACCAGAGCTCCTTAACCAGTCATAGACAGTAATAATAATAAGCCACACCCAAGGGCAAGGGTGTTTGGTAAAGTGGGGACCTCCATGTAACGGACTGACAGCCATACCAATAGCCTCAAACACGCCAGCCAGCGTGAGGAGGGTGCAGGCCCCGCGGCGTCTTGTTCCATCTTAGCAGCAGCACCACGGCTGGCGCTGTAGGCCCAACGCGGGTGTGGCGTGCAGCCAAGCACCCAGCTCTGGCTTCTCCCTTGTATCCCACCCCTGATCCAAATGACCAGTGAGTCCCTTCTACTCCTCCTCCTAATTGTTCTCAAAGCCACCAGGGCTCCCCAGCTCTCTGCCCCCCTCCCCCGCCCACCACCTCTCTTGCCAGAACTCCTGCAGCCAACCCTGCTCTTGGGGCCTTCCTGTCCTGGGCTCACTGACCCCTCCAGGAACCCACCCCCAGCTCAGTCAGCTGCCACTATGCATCTTCTAAATGAGAGCCACCACCCCTGCTTCCACCTACCTATGAGACCCCATGTCCCTCTGGATAGAGGCCAGACTTCTTGAGGTGTGTCTAGCCCCTAAGAATGGAGCCCCACTCACAGGCCACTCCCTTGGTCGCACCTCCTCAGCCACCACCCGTCTGGCCATGTCTGTCCCATCACCCTGTAGCCCCAGCACCCAGTGCCAGGCCCAGAACATGGGATGAATGCATGTGTGGATGGAGGAATCAACAATCAGTCTTTAACCCTTACAACAACATAGCAATGCAGTATTATCACCCCCATCTCATGGCTGAGGAAACGGGGTCACAGAGAAACTGACAAGTGCCGGGAGTCGCCCAACTAGCAATGACCAAGCTGGGAACTGAGGCCACATCACCCTCTGGCTCCAACGCCCTCTTTCCTTGGCACAGGCCTGTGGTGATCCGTATGCCTGTCCCATCTTCCTATCTTCCTTACCAAACTGTAAACTCTTTCAGGACAGCCTAGCATGTTATCTGTCATCTCTCTGCACCCTGCTAGAAGGAGCACCCCACCTTCCACATCAGATGTCCTTGCTGACAAGGAGGACAGAGTGGGGGCTTCTTGACCCTGAACCCCCGCTGGCCCTGGGGAGTCCCAAGCTGCCACCTCAAACTGTCCATGTCTTACCACGCAGGCCACAATGAACAGAGCAGGGCTTGTAAAGCCAAACCCCAGGCAGGTGACCACATTAGCTTCACTTTGGAAAGAGCACCTGCTATGCCTGATCTAGCTAAAGAAGCACATACAACAGCCCAGAGGGTACCCGGCCTGGGGCGGTACCCAGCCCAGGAGATACCCGGCCCAGGGGGTACCCCACCCAGGAGATACC